GTGCATCTTGAAGGACTAGACTAAAATATTCCATAAATAAAATGTATTATTTTCCAAAATCTTTTTGCCGCACTGAATAGATATGCCTTAGTAGTCCCTTAAGAGGTTAGTGAGCCATTTGACTCATCCTGTAAATGCTTGTTTTTTAAACTAAGAATTTTGCACTCAAATAAATGATTATTTGGTAAATTTTTGGTCGCCCGCGGTATATAGGTAGACACATTCGTACATAAATTTTCATGACTTTTGGTCAATTTCTCTCTAAAAATTAGCGTGCGTCGCACATATTTTATTGATAAATCAGCAAATTCTAATTAGCTGAGTGGTTGTTTATTTATAATATTCATCTAGTGATTTTTTTGTAATTTCAAAATCCCTTGTCTAAGACTGAAGAGGGAATGGGTGCTAATTCCTTTGCTACGACTAACTAATCCACTTGGTCAGCAGTAGGTAAATTAAACCCCTGGTTAAGTGGCCTAAATGAAAGTTTGGATTGTATACGCGGAAACGCTTTACCGGATGTCTGAAATTCCGGTTTTATCTCAGGGTCAAGGTAGTGGATTTAGTGGAAATGGACCCTTATAATGTAGTTTCCCAAATAGTTTGATAGCACTGGGGCTTTCTGATGTTTGCACATTCTATAGAAAAAAAATCTTGCCAAACCTTAACCGCAATTTTCCACTCCCCCAAACTGCCGGATTTTAAATAAAAACCGACCGAAAAATAAATCTCTGTTAACTCGAGAATATTTTATCATTCGTTCTTTTGATAGTCTCGGGGTAATAATAAAATCCACTTGAAATGAGATTGGAAGTTTCTGCAATTAGTAGTCAAATTTACATTTTTAAATAAAACAGTTTTTAAAAAGATTTCCTTGATGAAATCCGAGAAAGTCTATTTTCCCTAGTTCGGTTCTCTTAATTCCTCAGCGTTCTTTAATAACGAGGGTTTTCAAGGGCTCCAATTATTATTTTCCGTAAAACTGATTTGGCTTTGAGTTCTCTAAGTGGAACTCTAGGCAGATAATTTTAATTGATTGTTTCTACTGAAGAATTGTAGTTCTGCTCGATATACAGGCTGATCCAAATTAAACGTTTATTGTTAACCTTAATATTATTGAAAATCCAATCATTAATCGCCGGTTTTATCCTTGAATATAACTAAGGAGGCTTACACATTAATATCAATTAGTATTAAGTCTTGTAAATAGGTCTAGTTTAGGTAAATTTGTGCAAGACATGAATTTAGGATGTACACAAATTTTCTGAAAACTAGGGGAATACGAGATATTAAGTAACTTGTTTTTCAATCACACTCGCGTTATTTTCTGAGCACCGAAAAAAATTAATAATAAAATTGTGAAAAAACACAAATTTGTCTTTTTGTAATATTTTTTTATTATCTTGCAATCTTATTAATCTACGAATTTACATTTCTTACGCCCTGAAAATAAACAAATAATGAATCTATACACACGAAAAAATAATTAAAACATCTTTTAACTGCTAAAGAAGTCAGACTACTTTTTGGGATCTGGATGTGGGTGGAAAGATGTCTATTTTCTCACACATGCGATCATCCAAATGTGCATTTTTTTACTAGCAAATACTATATTCTAGAATAAGCGACTAACAAAGTGTGTATTGGACGTATACACTGCAAAAAAATTATGTATACTTTATATTCTTGTTCGACATTGAAATGAAACGAATTTCCTCAGTAATACAACATATTATGACAGGCGATCCTGCTGCAAATAACTAAACATTTAAATTACTCTTATTTGCAATGTATCAGTTTATTGGGTTTAACCAAATATTTTAATTACTGAAATTTTCGTATCTAGCAGCTAAAAGCAGATACTTAGAGAAAATCGGTAGGCAAAGGTCAAAGTGACTAGCTCAGAAATACATGTATATGTATCTATTTTGCATAAATAAAGAGATTTTGGAGTAATTCATTCACTTTAAGTAACAAAATACAGTTGTACTTGACTGGCAACGTGGCAATGACAAACTGTTTTAGATCATGAAAAGATAAATTTTAAATATTGCGTATAAAAGTGCTCCAACATTACATTTTCACGATCATCATTCATTCGTATCTTGGATACACCGTATGCATATAAATAGTTCATCTAAGAATTATAAATTACAAGCTGTCTTTTTAGCGTTATATCTAGTCGGAAATACTTGCACTTTGATGTTTAATTTTCGAGCTCAGCCACTTGAAGTTATCCACGTCAATGCAACAGAAATGTTTTTATTTTTTCGGCAAAACGTAATTTCGAATGTCTGATTCAGGCAGACTTCGCATTACTGATCATGCATGAAAGTAGATTTTTAGTTTATTGTTATGTTTGAATAGTTTGGTTTATAGTTATATAGAAATAGTTTAATGGGACAAAGCTATAGAAGAAATACATTTTTCAGCTAAGGTGTGAGAGAGTTAGCGTAAAAATTTCCTGCTTTAAATTAGGATTATGTTAAGTGAATACGTGGAAAGTGTGGATATGTGAAAAAGTATTGTTGGAACTTATTCGCATTAATTTTGTCCAAGTACTCAGGTTTCATCTCAGGATCCATTTAGAAAGTTTTAAGGATGGTGTTCTTTTTTCTTTCAGCACTACATCTGTTATTATTACTTTAATTATTTAGGTTTTTAAATGATTTGTATGACAGTAAATTAATAAGTATTTCTTTTTAGATGCAATGCTTTCAACTTCGAGTAGCGAGTAGGTGGTTTTACTGATACGAGTTCGAAAAAAACCCAATAGAATTGCTTATTTTAAAACAGCTTTTGTTCTGGTAGTTGACTGCATGTGAAAACTCGATTTAAAACGCTTATTAGGTCGATTGACAAATTCAGTTTAATTTTTTAAAGCGATTGGGTCTGCTTGAACTTTATACTTTAATGCACTTACCATACAAATCACCTTTTTATTCCGCTTCGGCATATTGAAGGGCATTATCGGTAATTGTCAGGAACGTGTGCAGCGCCTTTCGGGTTATTAAATCGTTTTCATTCGGGTGCGCTTATTCAAAAATGCGAAAATGGATTAAACGCAATCGGAATTTCGAATGTAAACACCGAAGCTAACACGAATGAAATGCTACAAGTTGGTGCCGACTTTTTGAAACTAGTTTATTTCGAATGATTTGCATGCATGAGAGACGTAAGCTTTAATTTATTCATCAGGACTGTCAGTAACAGGTTGATAATTTGCCTACAGGTATGCAGATATTCTGGATCTTGTTTGAAAATGAGACAGCAATGCTAAACTACCGAGTTTATTTTCATTCATTTGGATTTTGGTTCAATATTTTGCGTCATTCCAGCAACAGGAAATTTGGAATGTTTTAGATGCTAAGTTAAACAATAAAGCCGATTTTCGACCTTAGGATTAAGTATTTATGGAAAATGTATCGCGCAAGAAGAAACAATATCTTTATTCAAAGCTCTGAGTCGGCTTTTATTTACTCATATGATACGCCACCAGTTGCTCGTTCCCTTCACATTTTTTGGGTGAATTTGATATGCTTTCTTGGTTACAACTTTTCTTGTCAGAAGCATTTCTGTTGTGAGCATATAAAACGTAAATGTTGATGTCTCCTTCAAATGGTATTTTGGTTTCCATTAAGCAGCCAGTTTTGTTTTGCGAAACTTTCAAATTTCTGTTTGGTACAGTATACCTCACTGAGATTATATATAACAATATATATATAACATATATAATATAACAATATATATATAACATATATAATATAACAATATATATATATAACATATAATAATAAACAATATATATAACAATATATAAAACAATATTTAAATAACTTTTAAAATCTGGTGTTTAAATGAAACACTATGTATATTATGCCTATACATTTTTCAATTTTTATGCTTTACGAGCAACGAATGATTTCGAGTTATTTTACCGTGAAACTTTACTATCTATGAAGCGAAGAAAGTGTACGAGCTGATCGCGTTACTGTTCAATAGAATGTGTATTATCACATTGTTTCTGCATTATAAATTGCTTCTCCCCTTCTATGCTTTGGTTCCTTCATTGTAGTTTGTACGGCGTCTCCATTATAAATGCCCCTTAATTAAACAGCCTGTTTAGTTATTAATTGAGTTAAATTTGTTTGGGATAAATAATGTTATTTATTTCAAGAGAATGTACGGTACAATACTGGACTATTACCTCAGTGATATTGCAAAATTAGCAGTGGGAATTGAACGTTCTGAGGTATAATTTAAGGAAAGGGATATGTACAGATCGTCAGGACAGGATATCCAACGCATATTTCATTTTCTCCAAAGTAAAATTGTTTTCTATTACGATTAAATATATAATTTACAAATGAAGAATTTATTTAATTTAGAGATTGCATATTAATATATTTTCTTTCATAACGGCAAATGGGATCTGCTCTTATTCCCTCGATATAAACCCTAGATAAAACGGTTCGATTTTTATAGTAGAAAACGGTTTTAAAGTATGTGTTACTGTTATTTAGCACTAATTTGGAACTCTCTCAKTTCTCATTTTTAATTRAATTTTTCCATWMATTTTTTCGCTTCTCTAATCTTTTCTATACAAGTTTTGGGTCTTCTCTATACCAGTCCTAAAAATGTATACATTACATRCATGTTTATCTATTTACAATGTTCATTTTGTTGAAGCTAAAAATACGAACAGATTTGCTATTTCAWTCAAAACATTCTGAATATTATTATTATTATRTCCGATATTTGGGGATTTTTTTATTTTATTCACTCCAACCACGCAGTTTAAAAACTTTCAAACTTGAGACATTAATATAWAGTAAATACAACGAAAAATTATTATTTTKAACAACTACTAAKGAMAAATTCCGAGAGGAAGCATACCTACTCCTTTTGTAAATAACCCGAAAAGGTTGGCAGATACAAGAGAAAAGAAAGAGGCAACAAAGTTTCWAAATGGAAAAATWWATTTGTCAAAATTTTGTTAGATTTCAGCATTGGGGCATTACAAAACAGTTCAGAGCGATAAAAGAAGACCGGCCTCAAAAAAGTATCACCCTCTAYRTTCTAGAAACCATGTGACACACTGAACGGTGTAGACTCTAGAGCGAAACATGGTTGTTGTAAATTTGAGCTAAATTGTTTAAAAACTGCAAAGACCCAAACGAAAAAAACCAATAAAATTTTAAAATTTCTAACTGCAACACCTAGTATCTCGAAAGTACTGCGTTGTTGACTTTATATTTATGAAGCACAAATGCTGCACTTGATGTTCCTTGCCACATGTTTACWYYWTACAGGATGTKYYWTWAATWTACCGAATWTTTATGGCACATCCTGTATGGAATATTTTTTAAATTGGATTACTTTTCTGGCTGTTTTCGAAGCCACAAATCCGGCGAAAAAATATGTTCTTTGTAACATTACATCCGGTATATTAGTCTATAAAATGCAGTAAAAACGATGCATGATTTCGCCCTGCAGTATCCTAATCAATCCATGTGTTTTTATCATAATCTTGTTTGTTCAATTGCAGTTTTTGTGTATTCTGAAAAAACTAATAACAAGCGAAGCATAATTATTAAAACACAATTTTATTCATTAATGTTAGTATTATTTATATTAGTAGTAATTTATTGGTGACGCGAGGTGTTTAATTGTATTTTCCTTCTGTTCTGTCACTGTTTTCTATGTCTTCTTGGGGATTATTATATTTATTTTTGAAAAAGCCTCCTATTGGAATAAAAAATAAATTCTATTCTAATCTAGAAGAAGAGGGAGAAGCTAAGTTGGCTTCAAATACCGACATATTTAAAACCTACATTACCGATACATAAAGTTACGAATTTAAAACAAATATATTCTATCGGGTGTTTTATTTGAAATATTAAAGTGTTAGTAAAAACGGGAATATTTCGTTATTAGGGGTTTTAGAATTATCAAGGTACAAATCAGAAGCGTATAGGTAT